CAACAAGAAGCTTTCCAACTACTAAAGGATCACCTCTGTGGTGCGCCGGTGTTAACTCTACCAGATGGATCCGAAGACTTTGTGGTATACAGCGATGCTTCAAAGTTAGGATTAAGATGTGTTCTGATGAAGAGAGGAAAAGTGATTTCTTATGCATCAAGACAAATGAAGGATCATGAGAAGTAGTATCCGACTCATGATATGGAGTTAGCTGCGGTGGTATTTGCTATAAAAAACTGGAGGCATTATCTTCTGGGAACAAAGTGCCAGATTTACACAGATCACAAGAGTCTACAACATTTATTCAGCCAGAGAGATTTAAATATGCGACAGCGTCGATGGATTGAACTTGTTAATGATTATGACTGTGAAATTCTTTACCACCCAGGAAAAGCTAACGTGGAGGCTGATGCTTTGAGCAGGAAGGAAAAGAGTGGAACCATTAAAACTGTAGCAATGAGAATGAATTTGATCCCTGATATTTGTAAGGAAATTCAGAAGTGCCAACAAGAAGCTGTGAAAGAAGAATTTGTTAAAACAGAAAAGTTGGGTAAAATGATCGCAACCTTGGAACAGAATGATGAATGACTAACGTACTTTCAAGGGTGAATTTGGGTACCATATTTTGGAGATATCCGAATATAATATTAAATGAAAGTCATAAATCCCGATACGCTATCCATTCAGGCACCAATAAGATGTACCGAGATTTAAAACCTTTTTATTGGTGGCCAGGATTGAAAAGAGATATAGCTCGGTATGTGGAACAGTGTCTGACTTGTTTACGGGTAAAGATTGAACATCAGAAGCCGTACGAAAGTCTTCAATTCTTCGAAATACCTGTATGGAAATGGGATCACATTACCATGGATTTTGTTATGGAATTACCTCGAACTCCAAGGGGGTATGACGCGATTTGGGTCATTGTTGATCGTTTATCTAAATCTGCGCATTTTCAACCAATGAGAGAGAAATATTCTTTAGAAAAGCTAGCGCAAATTTACATCAAAGAAATTGTTACCAGACACGGTGTTCCCTTGTCTATTATCTCTGATAGAGATAGTTGGTTTACTTCAAAGTTCTGGGGAGGATAGAAAGCTTTAGGGTCTGAAATCCGATTAAGTACAACTTATCATCCGCAGACTGATGGGCAAAGTGAAAGAACTATTCAGACTCTCGAAGACATGTTGAGAAGTTGTATTATTGATTTCGAGGGATCGTGGGAAGATCACTTGCCATTAATAGAGTTTGCGTATAATAATAGTTACCGAATTATTCCAGTATCCAAGCGGCACTCTATGAAGTGTTGTATGGACGCAAATGCCGAACGCCGTTATGTTGGAATGAAGTGGGTAAAAAACAGCTAACGGGTCTTGAAATTGTTCAAGAAACTTCTGAAAAGATTGAACAAATCCGCGAAAGAATCAAAACAGCACAAGATCGCCAGAAAAGTTATGCAGATAATCGTCGAAAGCCAATTGAGTTTGGTATAGGTGATTTTGTGATGTTAAAAGTTTCACCATGGAAGGGTGTTGTCAGATTTGGAAAGAAAGGAAAGCTCAGTCCAAGGTATGTGGGGCCGTTCAGAATATGTAAGCGAATTGGGCTAGTAGCATATAAGTTAGAGCTTCCAGAAGAGCTGAGTCTAATTCACAACACTTTCCGTGTGTCAAATTTAGGAAAATGTTTGGCTGATCCGAATTTAGCTATACCGTTACCAGAGATTCAATTAGA